AATTTCAAATTAACCAATTTGATACTGTGGTATATTTATGTATATGGAACATCGTTTCCTTTTGTTTGTGGTTTACTTTCTGAATGAATGTGACATTGTCTTGCCTACTGTGAATGAAACTTAAACTTCGATATTTAATCTCTGCTTCTTTAAAACTTGCCTCTGGATATGGTATTTTGTGGCCGCCCACCATTGACATTTGTCAAACGAAAAACTGTTTTAGTTCTTTCTTTGTTTTTCGAAACCAAATGATAAAAATGGAATGTGTGGAAAGTAGATCATTCGATATCGGTTGATCGAATGTTTAAACACATTAAGATAAAAACTAAATTTTCCGTCATTAAATTATTTAAATTCGAATTATTTCTGTTAAATTAAAATTGAAACTAATGAAGGAAAATAACGCAAAGTACTGCATTACATTTTTTTTCAACATTTCAACACATACCAAATACACTTTTAATTTAATTTTACTTATGGTATTTTTTTATTCTTGCTCTCCCAGTTTTATGGCTACCTTATCCTTAGTAAGTTGTAAACTAATGTACAATATTAAAAAGCTAAATACGTAATTGTTCTAAAAGTCAAGAAAATTACATACATAAAAAATTGCATCAATCTGAAGATCAGGACATACTCAAACAATATTGTAGCTTGCGAACTTCAAAGTACTTTACACATTGCAAATAAATTTTATGACGCTTATAAATGAATCATTTTACCATCTTAATTTGTCCGATAGTGTCCCACCCACACAAAAAAAAAAATTATAAAATCGTCGAGACATAGGCACAAATATATAAGTTACTTCATAAAAATTCGAACATTTTCATACTCAGAAAGCAATATCCTATTTATTCTACGGTAAACTTTTAATTTTGTTATCCGGACTGATTTTTTGAGTCCTGAAATCGTTAATTTTTCAACATAGCAGAAAATTGGAGGCTACAGTGCCGATGTAGCCAGAAATTTCCTTCGATCCCATTTCGAGGGCTCCCAAGAGACAAAATATGGGATTTTCATGCAAAATACTGTAAATATATATAAAAATGTATCATTTCGGATTGGTTCCGGGCCCCCTGGGACACTCCTTGAATACGTCAATGGGCAACATTTTCAAGTTCCAAAGCAAGAATGTATTCTACTCTTTAAGATTTTAGAATTACAAAACGTGGACCGTGAAAACTCAAAATGTCAAATGAACTCATTTGGTTATTGTGTTAAATTCTGTGAAATGGCATAAATCAGAATATACCAATATAGGGGTCGATGCCACCAGTATTCAAAATTTTTGCAAAGCTGAACGTCATCCTTTGAGAATCTGACTCGGCAAAAATTCAGCTAATAAGTTCACTGAAGAAGTGAAGAGCACCAATTATAGTGAATTGAAGTGTTACACTTCATTCTGTATTGAAAAAATATTGGTATGTGTAAAATTTAAAGAAAATCTAAAATTGATTTATGGTAACTTTTTGTGGGGGAAGTACCAGAAGGGGTGGGCTGATATCTTTCAGCTTCACATCATATTGTGCGAATAAAAATATTGAGATGGGTGAAATTTGAAGAGAATCGGGTGTGTATTTTCAGTTTTATGTGTTCTATGGCTATTCAACATTTGTGGGGGCAGTACGAGAAGGATTGGCTCATCCCAATGTTTGAACTTTGAAGAGAATTGGATGATCATTTCGCGCTTTATAAGAATTGGATGTAAATTCACATTTTATGATCGTTTTGTTATTCAACATTTTAACCCCTTTGGAGGGAGGTACTAGAACGAGTGGTCCGATATATTCCATATTCACGATAGATCTTTTGTTAATAAAAAATCGGATGCATTATTTCGCATTTTATGAGAGTTATAATTATTCCAAACGTACCAGAACCAGTAGTCCGATACATTCCATCTTCGCAACAAATATTATGTTAATAGGAGTATTGGGATGTGTCGAGATTGAAAGATGCTCATGTCTCATTTAATGAGACTCGTGGTTAACCGAAATTTGTTACCCGCTGTGGGGGAGGTACCAGAAGGTACCGAACTCGATCTAAGTTCGACAATAATATTACGATGTACCATGATTAGTCTAAATCGGATACTTCCGTTCGAAAATTATCGTGTGGATCAGTTAGACAGACGGACGGACATCCCTACTGAAACGGATTTGGTTTAAACCCGTTATTTCGATGAGGCACGTCTTAATCGTATGAAATGATTTATACACACTGTAACCATATGACTGAGGGTATACAAATTATCTTAACCCTCAGACAAACAAAAAAATTGGAGGTTCCATTGAATGGAGTCTGTATATAAAAGTGGAAGTGTACTGGCAACATTTCATCAGGAAAAAACTATATACATATTTTATCTGCAACATTAAGAGGAACTGTTTTATTAGTGTTTTTCCTGAACGTGGACCTGTTAACCAATACAGACTGTACAGCCGAAAATTGAGGTACCTGAAGGGTTTCGCAGATATAATCATCTTCACAACAGATCTTGTGTTAGGAAAAATGTTTTTATGTGTGAAATTTGAAGAGCGTTGAATGCTTGCATCGCTTTCGTGGAACGATTTGTTTTTTAAAATTTTGAACCCAATGTGGGAAAGATACTAGAAGAAATGGTTCGATATCTACCATTTTTGTAACAGACCTTGTTTTTATGTAAATGTTGAGATGTACCAAGTCTGAATGGAATTTGATGTTAATTTCGCGTTTTATGACCTTCAAAATGTTGACCCTTTGTGGGAGGTGCCAGAAGGAGTGGACCGATATATCCCATCTTTATAACAGACCTTGTGTTGATGAACATTTTGAGATGTACCAAGCCTGCGTGAAATCGGATGGTTATTTCGTAGTTTATGAGCTTCAAGGATATTCAAAATCTTGACCCTTTGTGAGACGTACCAGGAGAAGTTTACTGATGTATTCCATCTTCATACCAGACCTTGGATTAATAAAAATATTGTGATGTATGTAATTTGAAGACAATCGAACACACATTTTATAAGAGTTATACTTATTAAAAATTTTGACCTTTGTGGGGGAGGTATTTAATGGAGTGGACCGATATTGTCCATTTCCGCACTCGATCTATGTTTGGCAATAATATTACTATGTTATAGTTTTTCGAATGTTTTGAATTTCTGGGTGCAGGTACTAAAAGGAATATACCAATATGGCTCATATTTGTCTTATAGCTGATTTTGACAGAAATATTGGACAAGTTATAATTTGAAAAAACATATGCTATTCATTACAAATTTACGAGTGTTATTTATATTTAAAATGTCTAACTCTTATATTGTCCATATTCCAACTTTACTAGGCCTGTGCTTGACTTGGACAATTATTTGGATGTACAATGATTCGTCCAAATTGGATACTCCCTACGATATTTATCGTTTGCAAAACTTTTAAGAATCTAGCGAAGGCGATATTATTTTCCACAGCAATGGTTTGGTAAGTATCGACATTTCTTTTCTGTCCATATTTACTGCCAGATTAAACTTTTTTTATTTTGAAATGTTTGCCCTACTAAGACGGAGGTCATTTGTAGATATTCAAGTTGAGCTTATAAATGGAAACTTCAAGAATGTAAAGTTTTTACAACGATAACTGATTTTCCGTTTATGATATCGAAAAAAAAAATGGAAAACTCGTAGATTCTTGCAGGTTCTGGAACAGATCAAATATATGTTTGTTTTAATGTTGGTATCGTCCTACATGATATTTTTTGGACTTATCTGTGTAATGTGGACTGTTTCAGAAATTTTAGACTAATTTGAATCCTAGCCCTCACTTTACTCAGTCTGGATAGAATTCTCTCAACCTCTTTTTCTGTGTACTCTTTACGGCCAATATCCTTGTACGGCTGTGGAAAATCAACTTTGCCAATATATGATCATTTATATAGCATAGATAACTTGGACCCAAATCTTGGACCCAAATCCGAAGGTATCTCTACAATTTTCCCATCCTTCTATCCGTTTGTTAAAGCATGTAGTAGACGTTTCTTACAAGTGGAACATATATGACATGTCCTAAATATTTGTAATTTGCTTTTCCATCCCATTATTATAACCTCCACCATACTATGGAGGGTATATTAACTTTGTCATTCCGTTTGTAACTCCTCGAAATACTCATGTCAGACCCAACAAAGTATATATATTCTTGATCAGCGTAAGATTCTAAGTCGATTTAGCGATGACTTTCGAATGAATTGTGATAGATGGCCAAAATTTTGCATACATGTTTATTTATCCAGTTGGCAGGTTAAGTTCGTAAATGGGCCATGTAGGTCCACGTTTTCATATAGCCCCCATATAACGATACCTCCCAATATTCGGTATTTTAATGATTTTAGCGTCATTATTCAACAGAATTGTTTCAAATGACGTATTTGGAGTTCGTTATGAGAACTACAGTCTGTGACAGAAAATTGTCTATGCAGGTCCAGTTCTTCGTACAGGCCCCATATATCAGTACCTCCCTATATTCGGTATTTTGACGATTTTAGGTACAATGCCCATCGAAATTGTTTGAGATGTGGTATTTGAAGTTCGTAATATATGCTACAGCCTGTGACAGAAAATTGTCTATGCAGGTGCAGGTCTTCGCACAGCTCCAATATAACGGTAAAAATCATCAATATATCGTATATAGGGAGGATACGATATATTGATGATTTTAGCTACATTATCCACTGTTTATTTCAAGTTTCGAATTTGAATATAATGTAATGGCTTATGACAAACAATGCCTATGTAGGTCCACGTCGTATAGACCCCAATATAACGGCTATATTTGGTATTTTTAAAATTTTAAAATAATTTTTTTAGGAATTTTATTTTTTGAAAATTTCCAAATTCGTTCCAAATGGTGGAGGGTACTGTTTTTTAACTTGTTTAGTCATTTGTATAGTATTTTTATTGTACATTGCAATTTCCATTTATTAGGTTTTCCCCAATACCAAAATAAATACACATCGAATTGAATTGTTTTATCATTTGTATCTGTATGTTTTGTTATATTTATCTTCAATTGATCTTTTCCAACTTATTTACAATACAATTAGCTTTACTTACAGGCTACGTTACAATTAATAATACACAGATTGTTTATTTATTTTTTTTTCAGTTTTAATAATTACAAACTACTTGCCATGACATTATAAGATATAAGAGCTAATTTCATGTTGATTTTTTTCAAAAAAAAAAAAGTTTTAAATATAATACAATTACAAGTGTGTTACAAATACTATCAAACAAAATAAATTATATAAATTACAATATTTACAATAATAAAGTGTGGGGGGTTTTTTACAAAGAAAAAATTTTACATGAAAATGAAAGAAAAAAGAATATAAATAACAATTTAGCCAAATTAGGAGTAATCTGCCGAAAGGTTCTGGGACAAAACGCGGACCAGCTGTGTTAAGTCTTTTTATTTTTGTTCGCCGAAAATAAAATGGTGATGAGGTGTGTGAATAGAGATTTCCTTTTAGAGGATTGGGGTGATTGGGTGCCTTCCTTAGGATTTGAAGATCGTTGTGGGGGAGAAGACTTTGGGTTTCAAAAGTCTCTTCAGGTTGCATTGATTCCAGCAACTTTTGAGACTTTCCTTGTTCCATCTGCTCTGTACCCGAAGCATCCTTTAAAGCTTTCAGTTGTATGCAATATCCGGGGAGTTCCCCAGATATCTGTTGGTTTTGCTGAAATATTTACGTATGATTTTTACTCATTTCTGAGGACTTAGGGCCTGCATTGCCGCTGATGAGGCATGTGATGGATGGGCCGACAAGCCGGGCATCATGCCGGCCGCCGCTGCCGCTGCCAAACCTTCCATAACTACGGCATCGGGATGTAGAGGTTTCTTTTTCAATATACTGAGATCATTGACATTTTCCAGGAATGATTTTTGCCCTGAAAACACTTTGACGGTTTCAAAGTCTTTCTTGAGCTCTTCAATGTCACGTTTTTGCTTGGCCCGACGATTTTGAAACCATGTAATAACCTGGGCATTGGACAGGCCCAACGAGGAGGCAATTTCATCACGATCGGCTGGTGAGAGATATTTTTGGTAGAGAAAACGTTTCTCCAGCTCAAAGATTTGATGATTGGTGAAGGCGGTGCGGGACTTGCGTTTCTTTTTGGGTTGCGGCCGATTTGAGAAGAGATCAATGTGGGATTTTTCTGTAAAAGGAAGAAATGAGAGGAGAAATTAGTATTTTATTTTATTTAAAAAATAAATAAATAAAAATTGTTGCAAGTTTAATTGGAGGCACCCTGTATTTGATTGATCATTGCCCGGTTGTGTGGTTGAATGCTAAGCATTTGGCAAGTGTTAACATTTTTCTAAATACCCTTTGGCCATAAATGGCTGCAGTTAATTATAGCATTTAGTTTGAAAAAAATCATTTGTTTTCTAAATAATTCTAGCAGCAAAAAAAATCAGCAACAACAACCACATCATGTTTTGCAATTAATTGCAGTTATACGTTTTAAGGAGTTAACCATGCCGCTTGTTTGCAAACTTGTCACTTTCAAATGACTTCCATGCAGAAAACGCTAGCCAGCTTGGCTAACAATGTCAAGCTGTCACCGTGGAGGAAGCTGTGGGTTGTTGATTGTTAACATATTTAATTCATATGTGTTTATTTATATTTTTTCAAAGTTTAATTACAATCTTATTACACAAATCTTGGTGCTTTAATGAATTTACACTTAGCTTTACCATGGCAGTGTGTCTTAATATGCTGGCTGTCTTAGACATTTGCCGCTGTTTTCTAGCACCTTTTTGCCTAATCAATTGACAAGTGATTAATGATCGTGTGCTGGGCGCATAGCTAGCTGACTGGCTGGCTTGCCGCTGTTGCTTTGTAATTAATTTAAGCTTGATTTAATGTCAATAAAAAAACTTTGCTTTGGTACCCTACCCACGGCAGATAATTTAAGTTCATTGTCGGGTAAGAGGAATCTGAAAATAGTAATTTTTCGAGTTAGTAATTTTCCCCCGATTTTTGAAGTAATAACTTGGCCAGTGAAGGGTTTAAGCTATTCGACCTTCATTGGATCCCATTGATTTCCATTATTATTATTGTTGTTATTGTGGAAGTATTTTGCTGTGGCCCCCTTGGCATGGGGTTTTCACATGACCCCTTTCGAAACAGTTACATTATTTCCAATTAATTGGAAAACGATATGTTTGGCCATTATGCTGTATTTATTTCATTTTTTTTTTTTTTTGTTTTCTTTATTAAGACAATTAACATAAGCGTTTGTTGTGAGCTTGAGCTCATCAGTTGTTGTTGTGGCTCTAAAGTGATTTGGTTTTAACGCTTAACATCGATTGTGGCGGCTTAGATCACACGCATAGCGCATTGATGTTGAAAACAAACTGAATGATTTTTGGCTACTGTTTAGTGGCTTTTGATGTTTCCCGTTTGCCCCGATTTCTGGCCTAACTTTTTTTCGGTTTTAAATGGGCGAGTGTGTTTGGTATAACCAACAGGTTTTCTATGATGTTTATTTTATGATGTGAACAGTGGCTCAACACGATTTTGATTTTAATTTTTTTTTCAAGATATTTTAATTAGCCAAGAAGTCAATGGAAATCCATAAATAAATAGGGGAAAACATTATTCTTTAATTTTTCCAAAATTTCCAATTCTTATCTAAAATCAAAAAAAAGAACATTTGTTTCATGTAACCATAATCTCCAAGTGATGTACCACTTCAAAAATTTGAAGTGCCCTTTGGGAATGGCTAAGGGTATGAGACTCGTAAATGCTCAACTAAAATATTTAATCAACAATGACATTAACTAATTTATGTCAAGTGCCTCCATCCAGCCCTGGGTTTCAAGTGAAAAAAAGAAGGAGTTTTGTTTTGGTTTGTCGTTGAAAACTAAAACATAATTGGGAAATATGAGAACTCCTTTTACTCTCACTCATCAACATTGAAAAGGGTCACTCTGGGCTAAGAATATTTTCCTAGTAATTCGAACAGAGACACTTGTGAACATTTGTTTTTGGAAGAAATCTTTGCTGTCACTTGGACCATGACTAAATTTCAATTTTTCAATTTTATCCCCAAAACAAAAAAAAAAATTAATTTATGAGTTTTTGGTGACCAAATGTCTGGCAAGTTCAAATTTTATTGTATTTTTTAAAAAGTATGAAATAAAACCTTATCATTTGGTAGTTATTTTATTATATGATAATTTTTTCGGGTTTCCCAAAGGCCCAAAATGAAATATTTCAAAATATTTTTTAAGATTTTTCAGTAGATTATTACTAATTGTCGTTGGGTGCCTAATGGTTATTGATTTCCAAACTCATTATCCAAATATTTAATCTCAACACTTTTCTTTGTAGAGATAATCTGGGATTTTTTTATTTGAAAATTTTGCTCTGAGGAAATTAGGGAGCTGACGAGAAGCTAAGGAAAGTATTTATTTGAATCCTTTTGATTTGAAAAAATAAACAATAATTTACTATTTTTGTTATATTGAAGTTATGAAACTTCAATATGAGTTCCATGCCTACAAATAAAAATTATAAAATGGGAAAAAATATAATAACCAACGGCGTAACGAGACCCATACTGTACATATGCATGGGACTTCACTAGATTCCAATTTTCATTGCTATCTTCTTAGGTCATTGTAAGCTCAACTTGAAAGAGAAAATTATGAAATATTTTTTTTTCATTTCTCCTTCGAGGAGAGATAAATGATGTAAAATTTGTGATGAAAAGGAAAGTCATAGAGACTCTATCACCCGAAACAGAAAATTATCAAAAACATTTTTTTTATTTCTCCTCTTCTTCGAGAAGAGCTAAATGATCTGAAATTTGCAATGAAAAGGAAAGGCAGAGAGACACTATCACACGCTCACCACTATGCGACACGTTTAGCCGTTAGTTAAGCGGCAATTTGGTGGGGATGATGACTTTCAAGAGCCTTTCTCGAAATAATTTCCAGAACAAACCAAGTTTGACTTAAGTTCTTATTTCAGAGAAAAACTTGTTTTTGTAGCAATATTTTCGGTCGTTCAAAAATTTTAAGGGAGAACCCAATTTTCTTTGGAAATTTAGAAAACTTTGCTATCTGAATGCCCTATTGGTTCCAATCTGACAATTTAAGCTAGGCCAATATTGGAATATTAGAAAAATCCCAAATATTTCAAACTGAAATTAAGTTTTCACCCATCTTTCTTCTTCCTCTCCCTCATTCAGACCAATCATTCTCATGTCAACTCAAAAATAACCTCATTTGTTTTCATTCGTCAACACTTTATAAACAATTTAAATATTTTATTTATAAGCAAATATTTTTTTGGCAACCATCTCCTATGAATGTTTGCTGGCTCGTATCTTCAAATTTATAAACATTTATTTAACAATTAAATTTATTCGATGCTAATTTCTTGTTATTTTCTTAAGACATTTTTCTTTGCCGTTTTTATTCGTTTTTTTTTTCAAGAGGTAAATGGCATTGCGTTCTGTGCTGCAGTTGACATTCCTCATTAATTTTTATAGATCTTGTTCATTTTTTGTTTTCTACTTTATTTTTGACAGCTAGCCAGCCAGCCAGCCGGCCAGTCGGTCATTATGGCTAATGTGAAAAATTGTGGCAAATATTTACAGAGATTTCATGTCTGCCGTATTTAGACCATTTTAATGGGAATTAATTAATTTTTCAGCAAATAAATGCAATTAAAATGAAATTCAACTCAACGCCACAATGCGAAAGAAAAGCAAGGGAAGAAGGTGCTAAACGTAGAGAAAAATTCTGGGAATTTGGCTGAGTAATGAGAAAGTGAATTTGTCACAAATTCTAGACGAACAAGTAAAAGGGGGTTTAAGTTCGGCCGGTGCTATGTTTACCTAAATTAGAAAATCAATCCGCTTTAATAATAAAATAAAAAATATCATATTATCAACCAATTTGGTTGGAAATTATGTCAGAAACCGTTATGTGGAAAAGTTTCAGCTGATTTGGTTGGAAATTGAGGCTAACACCTTCAAAATATTGAAAATCGGGAGATACCGTTATATGTGGGCTATAACAATTATTGGACCTGAATCGAACATTTTTAGGAGAGAGGTGACTGGCCAAGAACCCTATATGAAAAGTGAGAATTTCAAATAAGTTCCTCCCAAATATACCCTATTACTTGCCTTTGCATTCACAAAGACGCATTACCGACGGAAGACCACACAAACCCATCAAAACTTGCCTCCTCTAAAATTTTAATAAAAAATCCTCCCCAAAAATAAAATCTTGCCACTTACCATCCGATTCATCAAAATCTTTGGTTGTCATCTGGAACAGAGCATCCAATGGTGTGTCATTTTTCACTTTACTGCCATTTGCTGAACTGCCACTACTGCTGCCATTGTTAGCTGTTCCCGACTGACCCGCATTACCAGCAGCACTGCCCGTACTACTGCTGCTGGCCCGATTATGTTGAGATCTTTCCAGACTACCCTGTGGTGAATGGCGGGGATGATGAGCCTCGGACGATGAACGATTTGCAATTTCGGGCGAACAACAATCACTGGCTGCCGAACTGGAACGATCACTGCCACTCTCGGAGGGTATTATATCCATGCCGTTCATGTGGCGCAGCAACTGGGCCTGGGCATTGAAGTGCTCCTGCAGCTGCCGATGATAATCCAAGGCCAGACGTTGTTCATAATGTAACAGGGCAGAGGGGATAAAGGGTCGTACACCGGGCATGGGTCCCAATAAATGGTCCCAGGGTCTCACAACATGACCAGAGCCGGGAAGTAGCATGGCAGCTGCTGCAGGATGTGGCACCAAATCCAAGGGTTCTGTGCGGGGTTGAAGCAAACCACTTGAGGAAGTGGTACTGTGCAAATGTTTGGTGGTGGCGGGTGCTGCTGGTGGCGGTGAGACCGAGGAGTCCCTCTGTTTCTCATGGCCCAAAATATCGGCAATGGAAAAACTCTTGACCCCCTCCAAATGGGATTTAGTGCTGGCTGCCGAAGAGGATTGATTTGATTGTTGTTGCACCGGACTGGGCGATCTTTCTTTGGCATCACTGTCCTCGGCCGACATACGCAAACGTTTCAATGGCTGGAAGTATTCCTCAGGCATTGCACCGACGGCAGCCCGTGTTAGGCCGGCAGCAGCGGCCGCCGCCACAGCATGTTGATGCATTATCAATTGTTGTTGTTGCTGTATCAAATCCATGGCCGAGCGATTGTGGGCCGCAGGCAGGGGACTGGGCGCACCACCAACGGATATTTCCGATTCAGCAGGACTGGCGGGACGCATGGTGGGCGGACAAAGCATAGTATTTGGCGAAACACCACTTAACAAAACACTTTTGGATTTTTTGTTTCCAAATTTTTCACAATTTTTTCCTTTTTTAGTTTTATTTCAAAATTTTTTTTTATATTTCCATTTAATTTTTATTTATTGGAATATGTTTTCTTTTTATTCAATATTTCACTTGATTTTTAGTATTCTTGTTGTTTGTATGACAATATATGTATTTAGCAAACGCGCGCATTTAACAACCGATCTCGCTTAATGTTCACCACATACTGAAATCAATCAAAGCACAATCATTGCTCAATTTGGTTCAAGTCACTTCTCTTTCTCCTCTCGCCTCGAGGGGTGCTGTTTAACTTCTCACTAAATTGTAACAGTTTCTTGTTGTTGTTTTTGTTGTACACATATGTATGGATGTATGATTTGTTTTTCTTCTTGTTAACACTTTGCGATATGGCCAAAACCAGCAAAAGAGCGAGAGAACATTTACTTCTCTTTTGGTTGAAAACACTATTTGCCGTCGTCGTCGCCTCTGTTATTTTCTTAACAATGATGATAAACGACAGACGTTCGAAATGTTGATACAAACACACAAAAAAAAACAAGAAATCCAACGACTGAGTTGTAGGACCTTTCCATTCGACGCTTCACAGTCAACTGTTCGAAACTAGATTGAAAGATTGCTAACTAGACAAGTTGATTTTCTTGTTTTTTGCTTCGCTGCTGCTAACTGCTGTGTGAGAGAGAGAGTGCCTTCGGAAAACAGGCAGGGGTATGGATGGATGGGTGTGTGTATGGATGTGTGTGTGTGTGCTGGCCAAAAGACATATGGTTGGTTGGTTGCTTGATTGGGTTCAAATGGGTGCCGCAGAAGCTGATTACATTTTGGGTTGTCGTTGTTGTTGTTGCTCTCATTAGTGGTGTTGGTGGTGGTTGTTTAGTTAAGAGTTGCTGTTCGTGTGTGCGTCTGCCTTGTTTGTCGGTGGTTAACGTTGTTTAATGAAACTGCTGCTCAAGCAAATCATAAATGAAATACCCACAAACAGGCAACATGAAGTGAGAGAGCGACCAACACAAAACAGCATCAGACAAATGGGCTATGTAGGTATAGCACAACAAAAAAAAAACATGCCCACCCAAAACAACAACAACAACAACACCACCAACACACAACGGGGTGATTAACAAACAGCAATGAGCAGAGAGGTCTTTAAACAACAAACAAGCAAACAGTTGTGATTTGCAAGAGAGTGGAGTAACAGCATGCACATCTCTCTTTCTCTCTCGCCCATTCGGTATTGAGGAGTAATCACTAAGCTCTCATGTATGCCATCTCTTTTTTCTCAGAGGCGTTAGCTTAACCGGCCAATCACAGAACAGCATAGCAGTGTGTGTGTTTGTATGCGTACACAAAACAATGGTGGTTCATGTAACGGTAATTATGGCGTTCATCACCGTAGCTGTGGCAAACAAATTTAAGCGTTATCACTTCAAACGCTTAATTTAATGATTGGCGTCTGTTTTAGTTTTCTGCTTTGTTGCTGGTTGCTGTTGCCGCCTGCTTAACACCGAATAAACACGAACGAGAAGCAAATAATTACTTTTCCATATTGCCCTTCTCTAACGTTACTGTTGCTGTTGAAAATCTCTGGCCCAAGCCGGAGTTCAATTTAGTTTTTTGTAACAAGTTTGTATTTAGGCAAATTGTAATTATTTGTTAGCTCCAGTCATTCGTCAATTTCAAAATTATCAGTTGGTCTCCCTTTCCCCTCCATCCAACCAACCACTCAATATTGTTTTCGTACTTAACACACACACACCAACGACTCTTCAATTTTTTGAAGTTTTATCTATTGAAAAGCAACACAAAACCACCAACAAAATGTTAAAGCTATTCATCAAATTGTCAAGGGCAATTAATTTATTTGCCTGCGTTTGTTTTTACCGTCGCCTCCGTTGTTAATTTTTGCAGAAACTTTGAAAGTTTGACGTTTGGTTTGTGGAATGTTTGCAGGATTAATTAATTAGGCAATTGCCGGTGATTGTTACAATTTGTGTTTTTGCAAAAAGCGCGACTGTGGAAAGGAATATATATCTGTGAAATAATGAATCTTTGATAACGGTGATATTAAAGGGAGTAATTTTAAAAATATGTTATAAAGTTGAATTAAATAAAATGTAAATTGTAGTGCTCCCTTTTGGAGAAAATTAGATTTTTTTTTATAAAAATAAAGCTCCATGTTTTTCTTTTCATTCGGTAGTTTTGGATCACAAAATTAATTAAACAATAATGGATTGCACTCTTAACATCAGGTTTTTTTCGAATACGCAAACAGGCATGAACAGGGTACTATCAAACTTGTTGTTGTTTTTATTACAAAAGTACTTTTGTCAAATAAAATGCCCCTGCATTACCGGGACAATCGGTATCCATTTAACTTTTAATTAATTTTTTTTTTTTTTTGGATTTTCGTTTCTTTAATTTTTGTCGTTAAGTTTTCGAACTATTAACCATAGTTTGAATAATTTTATTTTTTTAATTTTGTAGAATTTGCAAATTTATTAAAATAGCGTTTTTTGCCAGTAGACGGCACCATTTCTTGATTTAGCTATGTATGTCCGTCCGTCCCTCTGTCGTGTGTCCATATTAAATTGTAATCTAGCTACAGGTCGCAATTATGACCCGATCATCAAGAAATTAAGAATGGTGGTGGGGTGAGGTTCAGAATATAATCTTATTGTTTTTGGAGATGATCGCAAAGTATTTAAAGAGGTTGAAATTGACCAAAAACAGAAAATATCCAGATTTTCAGCTCTACAGGTCGCAATTATAGACCAATCGACGCGGAATTTTTGCATGGGGCTAGAGTTTAGCGTTTTACAGAATCCTAACACTTTGTTTGGTCATCGGACAATATTTAGCGGGTAATAAATAATACAATATAAATACGAAAATGTCCACTAAACCGTAAATATTTTTAACCCCGGCGAAATCACAAATACATAAAAATATCACTTCTGATTGTTACAGTGATACTGATAGCCAAGATATCGGGCACATAGCAAGATAGGTATAATCTATATGTACAGAAATTTATGTTATTTTTTCGCTATAAGTCAAGAACCGCTGGATTGATTTTGAAAATTCTTAACAATTTGGAATGGCCTCTTCCCAGAATGGAAAAAAGAAGATGAAGATAAAACTAAGAAAATCGCTCAAAAATATGTCAATAAAATAGTGAATATTATTCTGTCAATTTTTTTCATCGCATGCGATTTCTTTAAATTTGACTTACAATTTTGTACAACAACAACATGTGTTGATTCTTACGAAATTTTGCATGAAGGTAGGGTTAGGGTCAGAACGGAAGCCTATTGCTTTAAAGATGTATATTTAAATGGACCACAAAATTAAAAATTTCCTTGATTTTACAGTTGTTCTACGGGTCACAATTACAAACCAATCGACACGGAATTTTGCACGAGAGGAGAATTAATAGTATAATTAATTAATAGCCTTTGCTTACTTGTTTTTAAATTTGTTTTTAGTTAATGGTGAGTCCTTCATCCAAAAGAATTTCATAATTATAAATATTTTCTTTCCTATTGTAGGCTAAGAGCAATATATTTAAACTCAAATAAATAAGAATTTTATAACTTAGTGAAAAAAGAAGTTTATATTAGCTTCGAATTTTACTAAGAAAATGTGATTTATTCTATTTGCTCTGGAAAAGATTTGCTAGTAGAGCCTTAGGCAACTTGAAGGGCTTCTCTTGTTTAATTCACATAGACTTAATCGCAATAAATTTAAAGTAAATACTTCTTACCAAAGAACGACCCTTGAAAGCCATCATCCACACCAAATATGTCTAACGAGCCGCTCAACCAACGGCGAAACGCAAACTTAGCTCGAGTTTGGAAAAGGGCAATATCGTCTGCCAATTCTGGTGCCTCCACCCTAAAAGGGTTCTATGTCCCATTAAATTCAAATGTTTTACACCAATGTTAGACTAAGCCTTCTTTTTTTTAGGTATATAGTGTCTTCGGCAATATTGCAAATAAAAATAAGAAGAATATATTAGTCAAAAATTGTAATGGTCAACGATATTTCTTCTTGTATTTGTAAAGTGAGTTAAGGAGAAAATGGAACCATCGGTTTTGATCTGAACGTAGCAAATCATTTAACACGATATGGCAAGGCACCATAAAATGAAATAAATGTACCACTATTATATGTTTATGTCTCCGATATTTTGATGATTTTTGCAGTATTTTTTTAAGTTTTTTTTTTTTTTTGAAAATTTGCACATTCCTTCCAAATGGTGGATGGTATAAAAATTTCGGTCAGGTCGATCTTTTAAATTTTTAACTTGGTTTTGTTTTTTAACTTTTAGTTTGGCTTCTATAAACAAAGGCCAAAGTGAAGATGATATATCCAAAGTAAACGGCCATAGACCGCAATGTGTTAGCATCTATTTTTATATCGGCCAATGAGAAAAGCTACTTGTAAATTCAAAAAAAAAAAAATTACAGTGACATGAAACATATTTAAAACTACTTTACAATACGCAGCTGAAGCAACTCCTTATTATTATTGAATAACACTTTCACAAATAAACCCTTTTTAACTCGTACTCCTTTCATTCATGGTCCAACACCTTTAATGAAACTATTTATCATACGATCCACCTGTACTGAATGAAATACATAAATTTATTTCACTGAAAGGTATTAATTTAGTCTAACACTTTAACCTTTTCATTGGTGGCGGCTTTTTTTTACAGAACTACCGTTGCTCAATCGACGTTTAACTCTATCCGCTGTGGAGAAAATTGGAGGCACTTTGTGTGGGTTTTCTTTCACCTTTTGTCGATGACGATGATGCTGTTGTGGCTGCAGTTGTTGGATTAATCAAAATCTAATTTAAATTCAAATTTATCAGCATGGGAAGCGAACCACACACGTTGCTGCTGCAACGGAACATGCCTTACGAATAGGGGAGCAATCAAAAGGATGTAAATGGGTATGGTTGGGCCTCCACAATTTCCACCGCTCACACACAATCAAATCTCATTTATAACCATTAAAACTGAAACGGCAACGGCAGCTATCAACACCAACATCAGTGGGGAAGGCCGACAACAGCCAGCGCTAACATCACCCAATAAATTTCCATTTTAAACCATGGCACAGGTGTAAAGCGTGTGTGTGTGTAGTGCGTTGGCTACGCACTCAGAGCGGGGAAACCGCGGGAAAATAGTAGAATCCAAGGCAAAATACAAATCAAATGGTGACCACAGGATAAAAATCCTTACAACAAAATGTGTGTGCCTTGGATAATTAACACTTTCCCCAAACAAAAATTTTCCTGGAAGAGTTTCCCACGCAATTCCCAACCAAGGCAGGGGATAAGGTTTTTTGGAGAAAATTAAGATTATAAGACAGCTAAAGAGATGAAACATGAAAACCTTTTTGTCTACACATCCGTAAAGAAAACGTTCGTTTAACCACTGGTAGAGGTGCGCACATTGGGTTCAAAAGGAAAAATTGTGGTTTTGGTGCTTTTTTTCAGAAAGGTGTCTGATACAAATTTCGTAATTCTTTTTTTTTGAGATTAGAATCATTTCAATTGGATTTTTTTTAATT